CCATCCACATCCAAACAATAACTTGGCACTCATTCATCACCTGATTTTAATGGTCATCTTTTTAGATATATAAATCTTCCCCCAATCTAGGACAACGATTCATCTATGCACTATAGCAGGGTCAGCAAACTTTTTCTGTAAAGGGTCAGAATAGTGAATATCTTAGGCTCTGTGGGCCTAACAGTGTCTGTCACAACTACTCAACTCTGCCACTGTAGCGCAAAAGCAAGCACAGTATGTGAACACAGGAGCAGAGCTGTGTTTCAATACTTCATTTACAAACACTAAAATGTGAATTTCACATAATTTTCACCTGTCATGAAATCATATTCTTACGATATCCCCCCCAATCATTTAAAGAAGTAAAAATTGGGCGCCTGGGTGGCTCAGTTGGTTGGGCGACTGTTTTCGGCTCAGGTCATGATCCTGGAGTCCCGGGATCGAGTCCCGCATTGGGCTCCCTGCTCGGCGGGGAGCCTGCTTCTGCCTCTGGCCCTCCCCCCTCTCATGTGCTCTCTCTCTTTCTCTCTGTCTCAAATAAATAAATAAAATCTTTAAAAAATAAAAAAATAAATAATAAAGAAGTAAAAATCATTTGTAGCTTGCAGGCCATATAAAAACAGGCAGCAAGCCATATTCGGCCCTCAAGTGTGGTTTGCCAACCCCTATGATGTATCATAATTCTTTGTGACTAACAAAAATGTCATCTTTCCTTCAATTACTCATTATTTGTTTTACCAATGGGGGAAGAGGTGTCCCAATTATGTTCCTTTAGTTAATATTAATATCTTTTATTTAACATGGCAAAATGTCATACCTCTACAATTGATAAGTAAGCAATCCCAATGTTCAAATAGAAACTGCTGACCCCTAATGAGAAGATGGATTAAATGCAACATGAGGCTTTAATTATTCTGTCGGTGTCTGCCATCGTAAAATGCTTGTATGAAAGCAATATAGCTAGTTATGATGGGGATACACATGCAAGGAAGGAGCATAAGAATTAGGGTTGAGAGTCTTAATTTAAAAATCAAATGTGTTTTTATTTAAAGAATTCATTTTATAATTTTGTTCAACTTCCAAAATTCTGCAAACAAGATTTTCCTTTTTCAACCATACATATATAGTACTTAGGAACAGATGAACAAATATAGACTTTGCCACATTTCATAAAACATTTTAACTGATTCTGAAAGGGCACTGCCCTAAGACATGCTTTCTGAAAAACTTACAGTCCACAATTAAAAACATTTAACACAGGGCACCTGGGCGGCTCAAATGGTTAAGTGTCCAACTCTTGATCTTGGGGTGGTGGGAAAGTGCCCCGAGTTGGGCTCCCCGCTCAGTAGGGAGTCTGCTTGAGATTCTCTCCCTCTGCCCCGCCCCCCACTCACGTGTGTGCACGTGAGCACGCGTTCTCTCTCTCTAATAAATAAATCTTAAAAAAAAATTTAACATATCTCACTTTTACCAAACAAATAAAAATGTCCAGAATGTCATGTTGTTACTAAAGTAACATAAAGCTTTCCAGCTTTCACTTTAAGATGAAAAATGAAAAGACATGTCATTTCAGATTAGGCTAAAAATTTTCCAAAGAGAAAATACATATGAACATTTCAGCAGCACTTAAGATATATTACAGGTTAACAACAAAAAAGCAGAAGCAGGACATGGAATAAAGCTCTTCTATATTCAGTTTTTTTTTAAGATACTAAAAAAGTTTTTTTTTTAAAGATTTTATTTATTTATGAGAGAGAGAGAGCAAGAGCGCATACTTGGTAGAAGGGGCAGAGGGAGAAGAAACAGCAGACTACCCGATGAGCAGGGAGCCTGACTGGGGGAGGCTTGATTCCAGGACCCCAAGAACACCACCTAAGCTGAAATCAAGAGTCAGATGCCTAACTGGACTGAGCCACCCAGGCACCCCTAAAAATAGTTTTTTAAAAAAAATGTCCTGGGGCACCTGGGTCCTGAGATCGAGTTTCCCATCCAGCTCCTTGCTCAGCTCCTTGCTCAGCGGGGAGTCCGCTTGAGATTGTATCCCTCTCCCTTTGCCCCTCCCCCCACTCATTCACTCTCAAATAAATAAATAAATCTTAAAAAAAAAAAAGTCCAATATATAATGTATGGCTGTTTTGGAATGTCTTTGTTTCTTAAAACTTTGTGAAAAAAACAATGTCCAATATAGTCATGTCTTTTTCTACTACAGAAATCTCAGAATATTTGTTAGTCTTTTCAACCACAATAAAAACCTTTCAAGTCTTAAAAGTTGGAGGTACCAGTCAGGTGCCTGGGTGGCTCAGTCGGTTAGGCGTCTGCCTTTGGCTCAGGTCATGATCCCGGAGTCCTGGGATCGAGGCCCACATCAGGCTCCCTGCTCAGCGGGGGGCCTGCCTCTCCCTCTCCCTCTGTGCGCTCTCTCGCTCTCTCTCAAGTAAATGAATTTTTAGGAAAAAAAAAAAAAGTTGGAGGTACAAATCAATGGCTAAGGCCTTAGAAGAAAAAGAAACTCAGTATCCAGGTCTCTACCAATCAAACAGGTTAGGCTAAAGCTCAGAAAGAATAATCCCAGAAAAAAAATATTTTCTCCTTACTGCTCTCAATCAGAACAATGAACTCTGTGCTCCCAGATTCATCACATTTATGGTTCTGGTTTACTTATCACCTCCAGCACTTACCCCAGTAGTTAAGTAGTCAGCTTAGATACTGGACATGTTTTATATTTTTTCAATATAAGTATCTCTTATATTTGCAACTGATTCATCTGAGATGTTCAAGTACAAATGGCAACCCATAAGTACGTAAAGGAGGAAAATCCCAACTCCTCCTCTGCCTCCATTCCCTCTACTTATTTCTTTTTTTAATTTTTTTTAAAAGATTTTTTAAATTTTTTATTTATTTATTTGAGAGAGAGAGAATGAGAGAGAGCACATGAGAGGGGGGAGGGTCAGAGGGAGAAGCAGACCTCCCGCCGAGCAGGGAGCCCAATGCGGGACTCGATCCCGGGACTCCAGGATCATGACCTGAGCCGAAGGCAGTTGCTTAACCAACTGAGCCACCCAGGTGTCCTACTTATTTCTTTAAAATCATGCTTTTAGGGTAATTTCTCTCACCTTCAGCTGTCTGCTTATGCCCTACTTTACCTCTACTTCACGCTTTGGGTGCACAGCCATAGAAATGATGGTGCCAAAGAGGGATAATGATGTTAAGCCACCAAGGAAGAAGAATCTTCTTAAGATTACCAATTATGAACCAGGTGCTTCATATATGTTCTCATGTAATCCTCTCATCTAATCTCATCTAATCTCATATGGTATTATCATCCCAACTTTTTCAGAAAAGAAAAAAGTCTCTGAAAGATTAAAGAACCTGCCTTAGGACTAGAGTAACCAACTACCCCAGTTCACCTGAGACTGAGGGGGTTCCTGGGATGTGGGAATTCCAGTTTTAAAACTAGGAAAGTCTTAGGCAAAATTGGTCACCCATCTAAGGACACACAGCCCATCCTTACCCTTTCATAGGTTCAAACTTGAGCCAAGTCAGTTGGGCTCCAAAGCCCATGCACTTTCTCCCAGGACTCCTGCTTTTCCCAAACTAACCTCCTTCTCAAACCTCAGAAGCCCCTTTATTTCCCTCACCCTCAGGATTCTGGGCCTAACCTAATTCTGATGAAAAAGATTCAGTCTCTTCTTATTCTGTCTTTTCCTCTGTAATATATACAGATCTTTCTTAACTCCCTAATACAGAGTACCCAAGGGACCACCACTGGCAGCCTGAATGGAATGATAAGATTAAAATAAAAACTAAAAGGTAAAAGGGCCTATAGAAGGCTGATTTCTTTTCAACCCTATTTCTCCTTTACATCATTAGCATTTAAACCCCTTTGGGGATGGGGTGGGGGAGGACGGTGGTTGGAGAACTAAAAAATAAGTTGTTCTTGCCTCAAGGATGTGAGGGTAGGAATGAAGAAATAAGTCTGCTTTTTCTCCCACAGGGGGACTGAGGCAAAGATGAACATCTTAATCTAAAGCAAAAAAGTAAACACTATAAGGAAGGCAGAGCTTTTCCTGGGGTCTGTATGTTTTAAGGGGTAGTATTAGCCAGTGGCTGCAGACTTAGTGGTGGTCTGGAATGAAGAGTGTGTCTAAGGTTTATACCAGCACAAGGTCTCACCTTGTCACCGATCCTCATTTTCCAATGTACCCATTCCAACCCCTCAGAACCCTAATCTTGGCCTTGGGCCTACTACCTTTTCCACTATAATTGAGTCCCTAGTCTCAGGAACCACCAATAAGAATTAAGAACTGGGATAGGGTGGCGCTAAGAATGTGCTTTCGGCAAACCAAGCAGGAACTATTCATGTATAGAATGTTTCTGCAGGAAAACAGATTTTTCTAAACAACTCAATGTCATACAGAAACTTCTGAAGCAAAACTGCATGCAAGAGAACACCTAACTACTTCCTCAAAGGCAATAAGGTTTTACTTCGACAGTATCAAGGGCAGTGCTCAGACAATTGTTTAATAAATGAGATTTATTAAATGTTTTCCACGCTTGATAAATTTCACAGTTTTTCCTTCGGCCTTACTTCACTGACTCCCAACACATAAGACACTGCCAATGAGTCCATGGATACCTTCTATATACTCTGTGCTACTCAATGTGTGGTTCACGGACTAGTTGCATCTGCATCACCTGCGACCTCACCAAATTAGAATCTGCATTTAAAAAAAAAAAAAAGTTGCCCGGGTAAATCGCGGGACATTAAAGTTTGTGGAGCACTGCCTTTAAGTTTGCTATATATAAATCCTTCCAATCCCCAGCTCCCATCTCTACATCAGCTTGAGAAAAGACGAAGCGCACACGTTGCACAGGGCCAGCGATTAACCTACGGTGGGGCTGGGACCTGTCATCCCAAGGCATCCTTCCTCCGTGACAGTCATTCCCACGGCATCCTTCCTCCGTGACAGTCATTCCCACCCCCACCCACCCCCGCTCACCTTGATGCGCTCCCCATCTATCTCCACAGCACGTTCTCGGAAATCCACCCCGATAGTAGCCTCGGTGCGGTCGGGGAAACGGCCGGCGCAGAAGCGGTAGGTTAGGCACGTCTTGCCCACGTTGGAGTCACCGATCACGATTATCTTGAAGATACGGGAGCGAGCCGGAGGCAGAAATACTGAAGCCCCTGACACCGCACCGCTGGACGAGAAGCTTGCCTCGAGAGACGACTCCATCTCCGTTCTCCGGACCCGCCCCAAACTGAGGCGGAGAAAAGCAGACGTGGGAAGACTTGAGAGATTACGCCACCTCGAGCGAGCGCGCCCAGCCTGCCGGCTCGGCTGCGCAGCGTCGCAGGAGCCACCGCCCTCCAGCCCGGCAGCGCGCGTGCGCACCTTCCCGCCCCCGCGTCGCGCAGGTGCGGCGCCCACCAGCCGCGTCTCGCTGCTCCTCCCACCTAGCCCGCGGCTCCACCCCGCCGTCGCTGCCGGCGGCAGCAGTCTACCTGGAAAGGCCTGACGGCCGCGGGGCCCGGCGGCGGCTTGACGGCGGGTGCGGAGGGCTAGCCCACCGAGCGGCCAAGCAGAGCGCCCCAGGCCCGGCACCCAGGCTGGCCCGGCCTCGCCACGTCCAAGGCTCCCGCCCTCCGGAGGAAGCCGCGCAATCACTCTGGGGGCGGGGAGAGAAAGACAGCTGAAAGGAAGGAGGTACCACCAGGCACTCTCTCGCGAGAGGGCCGAGGAGCCGCCTTAAACGGGGGCGTGTGCCTGGTGAGGGGCCGTAAGGTCTTCGGGAGGCTGGGCTGAAGGGTTCGGCGCCGTTGTGGACGTTGGTGGGGGTTCCCCGGACTTGCAGGTGGAAGCGGGTTCTCTTGGCTTGCGGCCGGGGGCTGCGGAGTCGGCTGTGCCCCCTGCCTCCTCCGGGCCCTCTGGACCCCAGGAGCTGGGACAGCAGCGAGGACTGTGGGAGGTGGGGCGTGAGGCGCCGCCGGAAGGCGCGGGACGCTGGTGGAGGCGAGCTCCGGGCCTTGCGGAGTTGGGCAGCCTTGGTCTTGGCAGGCTCTTGGTTGACAGTGAGCAGGTGGGAGGTCGAGGCCGCCTGCCGCCGTGGCACGGAGAATTTCCTGGGCGCCCCCTAGGCCGTGTGAGGGTATCCGCGGGACTGGTGGTGCCCCAGGCCCAAGAAGTAGAGCAGATCGCATGTGGGCCACTTAGGGGCATTGAACCGAGAGTTGTTACCAGACGGCCTCTCTTGGGAGAATAAAACCCGTTATGCCCTAGTTATGTCTTAATGCCTGGGTGACGATGGTGTAGCCGTTCAGTATTCCTGAGCGCACGCAGAAGTTGTCTTGGCACACTATTTAAGAAAAACATTAACAGACGAGACCACCCAACCTTAAAGAATCTTCTCTGGATTACCGTGAATTCTTCACGTGAAACCTACCATACATTAACTCACACAAAAGGTCCAAAATGTGCAAACTTTGTTTTTTTGTGAAAAGTTGTTTTGCAATAACAAGCCTGCATTGCTTTTTTCTGTTTGGGCAACTGGTTATGCTACTTGTAAAGTCAAGGGCTGTGGAGAGGAGGACATGGTAGGCTTTAAATAGAGTGAGGGGAACAGTAGAGCACTAAAAGTTCTAGGAAAGGAGATAAACTGCTTATTCCATTAGGTAAAATGAAAATGTAGTCAGAGGAAATTAATGGTAGAACCCGAGACTGCCCAGAATTAACACGAATTTGCGATAGCCTTAATATACAGTAACTTACGTTGCCGTAGAAAAACTATACAGCTACTAATATAGCAAGTTATGTTAGGGGAAAAAGTTTACTCACCTGGTTGAATGTGTATGCCAATTACATTTATTCCGTATCCTGTTAGAGAAACTAAAACATGGACTGGAAAATTCTAATTGTTTATCTGTGAGATTATTTCTATGAAGATTGATCATCCTGGATACTATTAGAGGGCCTTGGAATATATTCCTCTAATTTACTCTACCTATCCCATTCAAAGAAGCTGATGATTTAGGACAAAAACCAGTTGAAGAATTCAAAGCTCTGGATAATCAGGTAATTGCAAAGGATGAGTAAAAAAAAAGCATTAGCATCCTTGTACCCTAAGACCCTTTCTCTTGTGTAGTCTAGCATTTTCAGTTTAGCTCTTACTAAACTATCAGAAATTAATTTTCTTGTATGTTTATCCAAATCCTATTCATATGTCAAAAGTTTCACCTCTGTAAAGCTTTTCCTGATTACTTCAGAATGTTCTTTGCTTTTTGGGGTATTGTTTATTGGTCTTTGAATACGATCTTCACTGTTTAAAGTTCATAATTATGTGTTGTGTCTTACCAGCCAGATTGTCAGCTCTTGACTACTGACGGAAAGCTCACTGTTTTTCAGCTAATGATGAATAAATGAAGTGAGAAAATTTCTTGCATAAAGTTTGTCAATTTGAACTCTTTACCAATTATACACATTTCAGCACTACTTAAATAGAAGAAATACTATAGACACTTGACACTGTTATGAAAAGTTTTGTGTTTTCAGCTTGCAGTTTGAGATAGACTGTGTGTGACTGAAGTATGTCACTCTTCTTAACTGAATAATCCCAGAACCTCCAGGTTTGATACTTGGAGATTCTGCTACTGGGAAGAGTGGATGGATTATGCAGCCCTGTTCTGAGAATTCATTTTGTCCTTGGAATTCTTCACTAGCTGTCACTACCACTTGACCTCAAAGTATCAGCATGTTAACTTTTTCTTAATACTTTGCAACATAGCTGAGAAGAGACTAAATTTGAACTTTTAGCAATACAACTTCAACTGGAACATTATAAATGGTTTAGGGTACTTATTTAGGTTTATAGATTTATAATTTATTTAGGGTATTTATTTAGATGTATATTTAAAAATACTTTAATAGAAAAAAACAATATTAGAAACACAAAATAAGGGTAATCTTATGTACAAAGTATAATTACTTATTTTCAGCCTTTTTTTTTTTTTTTTTTTTGCTGCAGAGATGCCACTTCCCTGTGGCAGAGGCCATTTTTGAACAGATCTTACCATGGAATAGCTCTTAGGCAATTTCACTCATATGTTCAGGACTGAGCATGGAGGACAAAGGAGAGTTCTCTTGCATGCCCAAATAAAGTTTTCTCAGTTTCAGCCCTGATGACATTTTGAGCCAGATAATTCTTTGTTGTGGGAAGCTGACCTGTGCATTGTAGGATGTTTAGCAGCATCCCTGGGTACCACCAAATATATGTCAGCAGTATTCCACTCCTAGTTTTAACAAACCCTCTGTAGACATTACCAAATGCCCCTGAGGGGAAAACCTGTGCCCTGTCCCTGCTCTCATTGAAAACCAGCGGCCTATATCTGGACTCTTCTCACAATTCTGGTTACCTGTCCATCCCAGGTGATAGTAGGAGTGCTCCCTTAAAGAGAGCATTCTTAATTCCCAGAGAAGTACAGCATTGGTCTTACTGGCCTCCACCAGATTAACATACCACTGTGTTTAATAGTAACCCCAAATATCATAAAAGAGATATTACAGTATAAATAGTAGAGTTTTATTTTGGTACCTAAACAGTAAATTACTGTCATTTTATAGGTTAGCTTACTGAGTTTTACAATTAAATCCAGAAATACAAAACAGATCAAAAAAGGAAAGAGCTGGTTCTTTGAAATGATCAATAAAATAAATATGACAAAAATAGCAAAGATTTTTAAATCAGAGAAAAGATGTTAAGAATGAAAAAGGAGTTAAACTCAGATTCAAAGGGATTTTTTTTTTTTTTTAAGTAAGCTCTACACCCAGTGTGGGGCTTGAACTCACAACCCAGAAGTCAAGAGTCACACGCTCTACTGACTAAGCCAGCCAGATGCCCCCAAAGGGAATTTTATTTTTTTTTTTTTTTAAGATTTATTTATTTGAGAGAGAGAGCACCTGTGCGAGCACAAACAAGGGGAGGGGGAGGGACAGAGGGAGAAGCAGATTCCCAGCTGAGCAGGGAGCTCAATATGATCCCAGGACCCTGGGGTCAGGACCTGAGCTGAGGACAGATGCTTAACTGACTGAGGCACCCAATATAAGAGAATACTATGTATAACTCCATGTATTCATAAAAATATTTTATTGAGCACCTACCACATGAAAAACAGGCACTATGTGAGTTGCTAAAGATACTATGGTTAACAGACCCAATTTGTGGAACTTGTTTAACAAATACCAGAGAAAAGGGGGGCTGGCACCTCTAGCCCCTCCATTGTTTGAGCTTCTACTGTGTATCTTACATTATATGTGTTGTAGAATGATGTTATTTGAAGGTAAACTGTGGTAAGTTAAAGATTCATATGGTAAAACTTAGAACAACAGCTACAGTCATAAAACACAGAAGCATAGCTAAGCAGCCAACAGAGAAATTAAAATGGAATACTACAAATTAGTCCAAAAGAAGACAAGAGGAAAAAGAAACAAAATTAGATTGAACAGATAGAAAACAATATATCAAAAATTAATTATAAATGGTCTAAACACTGCAATTAAAAGGAAAGCATCATCAACATAAAAGACAGGTTCAAAGTAAAATGATGGAAAAAGATATGCAAACAATAAAGCTGGAATATCTACTAATGTTAGACAAAGTAGACTTCAGGAAAAGGAATTTGGCCTATCTTCAGGACGAGATAAAGAGGGACATTTCATAATATAAAAAGGTCAATTCATCAAGAAGAGAGAGCAACAAAGCTTAAAATTACATGAAGTAAAAACTGACAAAAGAGAAAAAAAATAGACAAATCCAAAATTATAGCCGAGATTTCAACATCACCTCGGTATTTGATGAACAAGTAGATTTTTTTAAAAGATTTTATTTGACAGAGATAGCAAGAGAGGGAACACAAGCAGGGGGAGTGGGAGAGGGAGAAGCAGGCTTCCTGTGGAGCAGGGAGCCCTATTTGGGGCTGGGACCATGACCTGAGCTGAAGGCAGATACTTAACGACCGAGCCACCCAGGTGCCCCGAACAAGTAGATTTTTAAAATGTGTAATGATAAAGAGGACTTTAACAATATTATCAACCCACCTAACCTAATATACAGAGAAAATTACATCAAACAGTGGCAGAATACACATTTCTTTCCTTTTTTTTTTTTTTTAAGATTTATTTGAGAGAGAATGAGAGAGCACATGAGAGGGGGGAGGGTCAGAGGGACTCCAGGATCATGACCTGAGCCGAAGGCAGTCGCTTAACCAACTGAGCCACCTAGGCGCCCAATGCACATGGAACATTCACCAAGATAAACCACAAACTGGGAGATTTTTTTCCTTTTAATTCTTTTTTTTTTTTAAGATTTTATTTATTTGTTTGATAGAGAGCAAGACAGCAAGAGAGGGAACACCAGCAGGGGGAGTGGGAGAGGGAGAAGCAGGCCTCCTGCCGAGCAGGGAGCCCGATGCGGGGCTCAATCCCAGAACGTGGGATCATGACCTGAGCCGAAGGCAGACGCTTAACAACTGAGCCACCCAGGCACCCCTTAATTCTCAATTTAAAAACAACTGAAAATTGTATAATTCAAGGTCCAGTCAGGAAATAGAAACCACATAGTAAGTTGGCTGTGTAATGTTTAATATAAACAATTATTAACTATGATGGGATTGCAGGAACAAGGGATTAGCTGGTACAAAGTAAAGAGAACTCTAAATATTATAGGGATATCAGATACAAGAAGTAGTTACTACTCCTAAGTGGAGATAGATTCCCCACAGCAACCCCCCTACACACACCCTGCCCCCAGCTCCAGGCTGAGATCTAGACCTTGTTACAGAGGGCAAGGCCCTGGCTTAGTGACTGGTAAAGAATTTGCTGTGGTACTGTGCCAGTGAAACATGATGGTAATCCACCCTTTGGAACTTGCTGAAAGTCCACCCTTTAGGGTGCCAGAGAAAGCTGTTCAGGGGTAGGTACCTTGCAGACGCCACTTTGCTACAAAACAGTCTGAAGGTGGATCTGGGGAAGCCGCTGTGTGCTGGAGAAATTGCCCATACCAGGAGCCTGGTGCCAGGGAAACCCCTTGCACTGCAGGAGCCGGGCACTAGGAAGCCAGCTGCAGGTACCTCAGGAGCCAGGCAAAGGAAAAGTTGTAGGCAGTGCAGGATAGGGGGTGCTAGAGAAGCTATGTGCTGGCAAGTGCCAGCCAAGAAAGCAAGAACTAGGAAGGAAAATTCTTTTCAGCATCCTCTATTGACAGAGCTTAACACTGTGCCAGCTGGCAAAGGAAAAATATTTAAAGAGCTTAGTTCCAGTTTTAGGACAAACAGTGAATCTAGGAGATAGAACAATTCTTAATAAAAGCTTAGAGGAGAAAAATGTGTCATCATCTCTACAGATGCTAAAAAGGTATTTGATATAAAATTTAACATCCATGTCTAATTTAAAAACCCTTGGTAAAGTAGAAATAGAAGGATAGTAATAAAGGATATCAAACATTTTCTTCTATAAGTATGGCTGGTAAGGTTTTTTGAGGAACCCTGCTGCCAAACAGCTATAATCTGCATGAGACATGCTCTACAGGACATTATTGGTCCCCAAGAGACTGAGAAAGTCCTAAGGAATCCCCACTACCATCCCATACACACAAACCCTTCGCCCAGGCTGATCAGCAAGCAGACAGGAGGACATGTGTCTATAGCAGCTGCAATCCAGATACAGAACCCTAGAGTAGCTGCCAAGTTGAAAAGCCATACATAGGATTTCCCCACCCTCCCATAAAGAACTGAATGAATATGAAGTCTGTGTTGCTCCCTGGCTACAAGCAGAAACAGAAGCAAAACCTCTCTGGAAGAAAACATCCCCAATTTAGGTCAAGAGGACTTTAAAAATTAAGGTCAAGCAATGAGCTCACAAAGAACTCCAAGCACCAAGAAGCCAAACTATTATGAGTATCTGTAGGAATAACATTCAGTAGATACATAACTCCAAGGGCCATAGATTATGGAATTGACAGATACAGAGTATAAATATCTATGCTCCAAATGTTGCAAAAAAAGTAGAAGATGTAGAGACGC